TCTAGGATATTTGGAGAGACCCATTACTAAAGTACGGCCTCAACTATATGGCACTGGCAGTTTATCTCCCATTACAACCAGGGACCTTGGGACTCATCTTTGATTTTTCCGCCTCTGCCTTTTATGCAAAAGTCAAGATAGAAGCTTGAGCATTTACTGTCACTATATGCTTGTCTGTGCACTTCGTACTTACTTTTTTTCTTGGTATATGTTTGGATTATATTTTTAATTATGCTAAGAAATAATAGTTAATTTCTTTGTTGCATTGTGTTTGCTAACTAGCTTTTTGTATTATTGCTTTCTAAATTGGCTATTCAGATAGATACCTTTGTGGGTTTTAGAATAGGTTCAGACGTTTGTGTGATCTTTTGCATGTAGCATGCAGTCATGCTCTGGGTTGCCATCCTGTTTTAACCACATGAAACATTCTTGCAGGAAACTGAGGTCTCTGACCACACACTTTCCCCTGAAGCAGATCAAAACTCTGGGTTTCACTCACTTAATCTGAATCTTAACTTCCATCTAGTCCGTCATGAGCACAGGAAAATGATACATAAATTGTTGCTCTTCTAGGATTCTGTTAACTAGATGTTATGTTAATCAGAATCTGTTTTTGTACCTGAATCAATATTTTAAATGGCCATTTAAAAAAGATCAGAAGGATTTAATTATGTTCTTGTATCCTTTAAAAGGAATTGTTCAAAAAGTTATTGTTAATATAGAAATTTCTGTCACGTGATATTCACCCCTGGGCCTTTTGACTAATTCAGCACTAACAGTACATGATTTTGTTCATGTGGACTTGACTTGCCATTTACTAGTGATTGTTGGGTTTTTTTGTCATTGTGTAGAAAACTCTTGTATATGTGTGAGTAAAGATACAGGTATAATGTTTTTAAAGTGCTAGTTAGACATGAATGTTTAAATAGTTCCTTGTTCACTCCTGAGATGCAAGATTCCTGTAAAAAAAATAAATGAATAAAATAAAAATTACAGATTCCTGTAAAAAAAACAAAACAAAACAACAACACAAAAACCTTCCACATTGCAACTTTACTTCTGGTAATAAACCTTAGCTTTCATGTAATTTGTTGTTTAGTGCTGCATGAAAAGCACCCAGAAGGATCTGAATTACTGTCAGTGTGATTTTTTTTCTTTGTTCTTCATAAAACAGTGAAGTTTGTCATGGCGTTATATGGCTTTCTCCTTTTTTGGTAATATAATAGCAGGATTTTTTGCAGGTTATGCTGGAAGTAATTTAAGAATAGATTTATTAGTCTATACAAGGAGCCTGCAAGGAAGAGCACCTGCTACCTAAATCCTTAACTTTGACTTTTGTAGCAGAGTGGACTAAGGTACCTTGGGCCAGGGAAAGCATGTTACAGAGACGCCTACTTTTTCTTAGTCACCTTCTTGGGGTTTTTGAGCCAGGGTGGATAAAAATCAATTATTTATTTTTTTAAATTGAATTTTTTAATTTAAATCATATTTTTTTTAATTTAATCATATTTTAAATTTTTTAAGATGCTTTTCTTGGGGAAAAAACCCTATGTAAAGATGATTTTAATTTAAGATATGTTAAAGCTCAAATATATCATCATGGAATAGGGATTATAACTTCTAATTATATACTATTTGAGATAATATATTCATGTAACCATTTTTAGAGAAGTTTTATAAATAGGTCACAACAGGCCATGGGTTATATTAGGGGCCCAATCTTATGAGGCTCCCAGAGTCTCCTCTACAGATTAGTAAGGATTAAAGTAAATCACTCTACCCAGTGGGTCTCAGTGCTTAGTCTTGAAGACCCCATTAAGCATCTCTGTGATGCTTAGTTTCAGTTCTCAAACTGGAGTTGTGTTTCCGGAGATAACATCCTTGTTAACAGCAGTATATGGAGATGAGAGAGAACAGACCTGATTACTTACCTATCAGTCCTCTGAAACTTTGTGTACAGAATCAAGCCCTTGCCTCTCTAAAAGTACAGAGTTTCAAGAAGCTAAATGAGTAAAGGATATCAAACAACAGGGATGCACTTTTTGTACAAAACTAGGATTAAATCGAGGCTTCCCAACCAATTATTCAAATCATGATCGAAACTGATTTGATTTAAATCAAATCCATCTTTGTTTTGAGCTATGCTTTGCTCCTTCTGTTTTGTTACTTGACCTAGTATATTAGTTCTTTGTATTCCCTTTGGTCCAGTATGTACTTAAGAGAATGTGTGTAGATTAGGGGCAGGCAATTATTTTGGGCGGAGGGCTGCTTACCAAGTTTTGGCAAACTGTCGAGGGCCTTGCCCCAGACAGGTGCCCTGCCCCCTGGTTGCCATCTTGTGACAAGTCCCACCCACTAACCCCTAAACTTTGTCACCAGAAGTCTCTCCCCTTGCCCCCGGAAATACTCCTTGCAGCAAGGGGGTTTGCCATCTTGGAACCAAAAAAATACTAAATGATATTCTAAAAAGTGAACATCTACAACATTCATTAATTTGATTTCAAAAAATATTTTTGTCTTGATTTACATGTGTTTGTGTACTATCCATAGGGGTGATGGCACAATAGCTTAAAAGAAGTCTTACACTTGTGTCTTGTGAGGAGGCAGGGGCATTGGGGTGGGTATAGGTTTTTGGGGGGCTGTAGGTATGTGGAGGGTGGATAGGTGTGAGGGGTGGGGTGGTGGATAGGTGTAGGGGTGAGGGTATGTGTATGGATATGTGGGGTGTAGGTGGGTATGGGGTTTGTGGGGGCAGGGTGGCTGGGGTGTGTGAGGGGGTGTGTGGATGCATGTGTATAGTGGGGTGTGTGTGTAGGACTCGCCCTATGAACACGAACACACACACACTGTCTCTCCCTCCCTACAGACACACCCACACGCCCTCCCACTCCTGGCCCTGGGGTACTGGCACCAGCCCTGTGCTCCCAGGGTCCAGCGATGCAGCCAGGAGCCACGTGGTGCTGAAGCAGTGCCAGGGAAATAGGTGGGGCAGGGCTGGGCCCTATTACCCACTCCCCCTGGGTCCTACTCCCCCTGGCTCCTGTCATCTTTGACAGGCAGCCAGGAGCAGATAAATATTAATTTTCTAAAATTTTAAGGGGCCCCACAGGCTGGATAGATTGGCCTAGTGGGCTGGATCCAGCAAGCTGGCCGTATTTTGCCCACCTCTGGTGTAGATAAACTATTTGTATTAATTTAAGTAGATTTGCAGTTGTCCCATGAACTTCCAGAAGTTGTCTGGATGTTCTTCAGGCTCTGTATTTGGCTTTTCACACTAGAAAATGATATGTTTGACCAAAAAAACCTACTTGATATGCACTACTGTCTTTTAGGGTACCTTTATGCAATTTATCAAGTCTGCTGAAGTGTGCTGATTGGCATACTCCAGCAGCCTTGGTGTAATGTGTATTTAGTCTCCCTGCACTTCAAAATGGTGGTGGGGGTGCTTTAACTATCGAGCTTTAATTATGGCACCCCCAGCACTATTTTGAACCACAGGATGCTGAAATCACAAGATGTTGCAGGTGTTTTAATTACAGTGGCTCCCAAGAGTTGCTCTAATTAAAGTGCACCTTCT